TATACACGAACAAAGGTATGAATATATTCGATAATGTTTTCAGCTACATATAAGGACAGCCTTGCTAAATCAAGAACAAGAAGCATCATGAACATTAAAAGGGTACAGAAAAATTACCTGTACAAAAACCCCAGGAGAAAATTCTGAAACAATGCCATCTTTTCCAGCTAAATCTACCATTTTAAAGATGTCTATCACAGCTGGACGAGCCTATTCCCCAAATTTCAAAACTAATGATCAGAACATATTTTAAACCATATGAACCTATATAGAAATATATCAACTATATCAAGATACATAGCAGTCGCAGAAACCAAGGGTTGATATGTATTATCCAATATAGAATAAATTATCTACATTAACATGATACCCTGACAAATGATGCATATATTAATCTTACTTTTCCAGTAGCTATCACAATTTTCACACCCCTTGATGATGCCTCTCTCAAAGCATTGACAGTTGCAGAGGAAATTTGACATTTGCTGTTCAGCAATGTTCCTTTATATAAAACAGGAGTCTATTAAAATCCAGGAGAAAGATGAAGCAATATCAAAAGAGTTTTGCTGCAATCTTACCATCCATATCACAGAAGATATAGCTGAACTTTGGTTTATAAAATCTAAGACTGCCTTCTTTCTTCCTGTCTTTTGACAATTCATCTATAAGATTATTTCCCCATACATTTTATGCAAATGATAGTTACTTGAATTAGAGGGAAATATATAAAACCAATAAATTAAAATTATGCAAGTTGAGGATGCTGAGGCATACTAGTAAAAAATACAATTGCCATCTGAACTGTCTTGGTGAAAATTTGAGTTTGTTTCAGCATCACATGCACTCTTTATTAGCCCTTTTCCCTTCCAATCAAGACTTCTTAAAAGGATTTCCTCCTCTCTTTCCATTTCTACTTCAGCCTCTTCGCTTATTTCATGATCAAATCCCAAAAGATGTAACAAACCATGAACCTGCAATTAGATAAAGTAATTGATGTTCTCAAGTTCATCCTTTCAGTTCAAACAACATAGACATAGTCCTTCATAAAGACCTTAACTCTTACCCTTATGCTATCGTTAGTCATGAAGTAGAGATTCTATAATAATATTTTAAAAGAAAAAGAATCTCAACTTCAAAATGTAGTGAAGAAGGAGTGGATTAGACATAGTTCTACTTCTTGTGCTACTTTTTTAGAGGTGCCCAGGATAGATAGCCCCCCTTTCTTTAATACTCATTCTACCTTAGTTGTTCTAATAAAGCACCCAAAAAATTGGATTATATTGTTTGATAGATACAACTTATAATGTCTTATATTCTATGTTTGATCTTAAGGGAAGTTCACATTCACTTGAACTTAATTTGACTACTTCTCTACATGACAAACTTAGATTATGAGTCTTTAAGGCTCCTTTTGACACTTTCTTCTCATACATATCTAACAAATAATATAACTCAAAATTTTTTAGGAAGTTTTCTAGTAGTATTTTCTTTATTTTCTAGGAAATGCCTAGGTTACTATATAGGTTACCTTAGGCAAGATGTTTTAGTTGTTTGGACTAATTCCTTAAGTTGTTATAGTCTTAGTTTTAACACATTCTTAGGTTTTAGTTACACACCTAGAATTTGCTTAGGAGAGGATCCTATCCATAACCTTAGAAGGTCTAGTGTCATTAGTTTAATCTTCTTTGATAGGATCTCTAGAAGGATTCCTCTTATGGTGTGTCTTTCACACGTATCATTTGAATATGTCACCTTTTATGCATGGTATTTTATTATTGTAGGTAATGATGTCTATCATGAAGATCCTTGAGATTTGAGGACAAATCCTTTTCAAGAGGGAGGAAATGATGGAACCATGCCAAGGAGGGCAAGAGGTGACACATTGAAAGACCCGAGAAGAATGGGCTAGACATGAAGATTTGGCTAGTTTAGAGGCCTGGTGGACTTGGTGGGCCCAATTTGCTCCTCACATGGGCCTCACCCTAAGATCTCCATTTTTCTATATTTGTATATATTTTATTAGTATAGGTTTCATATATTTTGGTCTTGTATTTTGTACCATATAGATTAGGATTTTTAAGCCATAGGTTTATTGGACCTATTTTCGGGCTTAATGGGCCTTGGTATTTTGGTACCCAGTATTGGGTTGATTTTGCTTCTTTTATTATTTCTTAGTGTTTGTGATAGGTTGGCCATTTTATTTAGGCCATTAGAATAGGTTTTTAAGAAGAAAAGCTTAATTAGGCAAAGTTAGCTAAATTAGGTCACATTTAGATGTAATTTGAGATGCATTTGGTGCACATGTTCTAGCCTAAGAGTCGTAGCACATGATCAACCCCAAATAGTCTAAAATTAACATCAAATGCAATCTAAATGATATTTGGACTGTACATGGGGCCGACATGTAGCTACCAAAGAGTTTGAACTTCAAATTCCATTTGAATTTCAAATTTTAGGTGCCAAAATGCAAGCTTAGATGGGTGACACCAAAGCTAGGTTACCTTGTCTATAAATTGAGCTTTCCTTCACACTTAGCATTCACTTTTGAGATAGATATTCAGAGCATTTGCTTTAGCTAAATTCTCTTCTCTTAAAATTCCAAAATAGCTTAGGAAATTCTAGAGTTCCTAGCGAACACTTCTAGGAATTAGCACCTCTATGAGCAATCATTTGTTCCCTTGGCTTAGGTGCTTCCAAACTCTAGAGCTTGTTGTGTCTTCACCTTTGTTTCTACTTCATTTTCACGTTCAAATCGAACACTTCTAGGAATTAGCACCTCTATGAGCAATCATTTGTTCCCTTGGCTTAGGTGCTTCCAAACTCTAGAGCTTGTTGTGTCTTCACCTTTGTTTCTACTTCATTTTCACGTTCAAATTCACTCAAGGAAGGTCTAAGGGACTTGGAGCAAGTTTTTAGGGAATCATTAATCATTTCTTTAAGATTTTCCATTAGATGGTGACTCCTTTGAAATTTTTTCAAAAATCATTGGTTAGGGATTCCCTAACTAATGAGATTTTCAAAATGGAAGTCCAAGCCATCTATAAGAGAGATCAAAATTTTTTGGGTTCCAATAGATGACGACTCCACTAGGTAAGCTGAAAGAGGGTCAGGCTCAAATAAATGATGAAATTAGCAAAATAAGAATAATAGTTCAAATATATTTTTCCCTTTTAATTTGTTTGTTTTATTTGTTTGGCTTTGATATCTATATTTTTGTTTAAATTCTACATTTTTTTAAAATAAACAACTATACATAAATCCTTTCACACAATAGTTCCCTCTACACTCGGGGGCATGAGTGTGTAAACATAGGGAGTGATTGATGTACGACCGGCCCAAGAACGAACTTAGAGCCTGCAAGCTTTGTCAAAAATCACATTCAAGGTGATAACCGGTTACTCTAGCCTAAACTACTGTGTTAGACCTTAGAGTTTTCCAAGTGATGGCGATAGAGGTATTGGGTCCCTATAATAGGGGCACTTTGGGAGCCTTTATGATGGAATAACACTAAGGCCAAGAAGTCCAAGAG